CCCCCCCCGCCTTTTTTTTTTTTTTTTTTTTTTTTTGTGGGACCCCCTGTGGGGCCACGGGATGCAGACCTCTGGGCCCCACGTGTCCCCGGGGCTGCAAACACTGTGCAGGCTGCTTAGGGCAACATGCAGCTGCAGGCCCAAGAAGCCAGAGCTGACCAGGGGGGTAAATGGGAGCAGGTGGCAGCACCAACCCAAACTCCCAAGTTTTTTAGGGGACAAGTGTGCAAGGAATGGGCACCTGGCCCCTTGACAGCCACATGAGCCACCTGGGCAACTGTATGGACAGAGTGAACGCGCAGGGATGCTTCCCTGGGAGGAAGAGCCTGTTGGGATGTTCAGAAGGCCAGGCACCTGGGCGGGCCAGATCCCATGTCACTGATTTGGGGCTGATTCAAAAGCTCATTGCAGCCAAGAGCTCTCTGGTCTCCCTCTCTATGTCTGCAGGCAGGCTTATAAATGCCCACAACCTATAAAATTGACAGTAGATGCCCAGCCCTGCTCCTCAGGAAGCCTTTTGCCATAGGACCTGCAGCTGGAGGCAAACAGAAGGAGCAGCTACCCAAGGCCAAGCTATGTTTAGCAAAACAGTGGGAATCAATAAGGGCAGAGGAAGGGAAGGAGGCAAATCCATTTGCTGCCAGAAAATGTGAGAGGCTTGTGGGCAGTCATGGGTGAAGCACATTTCCTGTGTCACCCTCTTGGCTTCAAATTGCTAGAAAATAAGGTTCACCTTTGGGCAAAAGCCTTGGGCCTCAGCAGTTTCATCCGAAGTCCAGAGCGTGTCCATGAGGCAGCGCTCGCCGGCTCTTCGGCAACGTGCTGCGCCCAGCACAGTGCAGGCGCCGCCAGTGGCTTTGGTGACCGCTCTCTCCTCCGCTTTCCGGCCCCACGAGAAGCCCCTTGCCCTAAGCTGGCAAGTCCTGCTTTGCTCCTCGGCTGCCCTGGGGAACTATTTAGCCTGGAAAAGGCACAGGGCTGAGTAAGACTCGGGCTTTGCCAGAAAAGGGGGTTGCTACGCACACACCTGGTGAATGATCCTTGCAGTTACTGTGCTGCACCTTCAAATGCAGCCGCTGCGGCTCCTTGTCCACATGCCTGCCTGTGCGTGGACGTCACTTGCCCCAGTGTTTGAGCACCAACTTTAAAGTTTAATGCAAGAGAGACCTTGTCCTTAGTTCCACCTAGTCAGCCCCCAGACTGCATAAAAATGTGTACATACATGCGTGCATGTGTTTCCTCAGACCGGATAATTTAATCTTCTTATATGCATATTATATAATCGCAGTGCACGTGGGTGTTTTTGTATCAAGATTCAGCAAGCTCCTTCTTTGTGCCAGATTAAAAAGAATCACGAGGAGCTGATCTGGGCCCTGCAAGTGCATGGGAATTCGGGTAGGTGCAGACAAGCCCTCCTGCAAGAGGCAGGGGCGATGCTGAGTCGCTGCCAGTGCCAAGCTCCTGCAGCAGCAAGCGCGTCCCCCTTGTGCCTGTCTGTGCTGGGCAAGCTGGGGACACGGCCTGGTGGCAAAGAGGGGTGAGAAGAGAAGTGGTCCCCAGAGCACGAGGCTGAGGTGCCTCGATCGCTGCCTCACGGTCTGCAGAGGGGCTGCCTCAGGGACAGGAGGTGCGGGCTGCATTTGGTGCAAAAGGCAGGGCTGGCTTGGCACCTGGGTGGCGCAGCCAGGTAGGTTGGTGGTTATACCTCGATGATGGCTTTTTGTGGGAGGAAGCCTCCCAGCACATCCGTGGGCAGATTGGGCAGATTACTTACCGCTAGCTTGGTGAGAACATCGGCCTCGGGGCCAGCCGATTCCTGTAGGGAGCCATGCAGAATCACGCTTTTATTACTCGCCTTGGCTCCACGCTGGCGAGAGGTTCATTCTCGTGCTTAACCATCAGCAGCTTGGCAGCACTTTGGGAAGTGAGGCACCCTCGCTCTGGCTTCGTAAAGGGATGTTATTCGACGGTAGCCCATGCAGAGCAGGTTTTTACCCTGTGCCTTGATCAGAAAATGCTCCCTCGGCAGCTAAGCTTTCAGAGGGGTGAGAGCCATGGAGCCCCGTTAGCTCTGTGGCAGCGGGGCCACCACTTGAAGCCCTGCATGTCCCAACAATCAGCTCATTGCATCCCCGAGCCTGCAAGGCTGGATTCCTGCTCCTCCTGTGACGCAGAGCTGGGGAACATCCGTGCAGCACGCGGCTCCACAGCTGCAGGGCAGCACACGGGGAGAGGAAGTAAAACAGCATTGGATTTGGGGTTCATTTTGACAAAAATCAGAAGGAACGGCTCTGTTCCTGCCCTGCCACAGCGCTGGGAGCGATGCCGAGCCCTGCCCAGCACCTTACGAGGGTTTTGCTTTTGGGTTGCAGTGGGAGCTAGTAAAAGCAGTCAGCACATCCTGACTCCTGCTTTTCTTGCCCATCCCGCATGCTTACCAGATCCCTCACTTCATTGCATGGGGACATCCTTGTCACCCGGGGGCACAAACGGCAGCACTTGGACTCTCAGCTGGGAAAACAGATTTCCAGGGAGCAGAGCTGATTGAAATCAAATGAGCTCTTATGGCTTTTCTTCTTTTTTTTTCTTTTTTTTCTTTTTTACTCTTGAATTTATAAATCTCTAATGTTTTGTGTTTAGGGGAGTATAAAAATAATGCAAGACAAACAAGTGACAGCAGCAATTCACTCCTCTGCTGCAAATCCCCAACAACCAAAGCAGGGGAGCAGCCAGCAGGTGAGGCGTGGGCCCTCGCTATTCCCACAGGAGCATCCGTGCCTACCCGCAGCCACAGCACAGAAATAACGCTGCAGCTGGGCCGTGGCCACAGGTTTTCACCCCCCTGTCTGGACTCTTAAGCATTTTCCTCCACAACTTACCTGAAATGATGCAAGTAGCCTGAATTTAAGCCTCACTTAAATTTAAGCCCCGCCAGCGGAAACAAGGGGCAGGGCTGGCGTGCCGACGAGCCGGATGCCGAGGGGGCAAGCGAGGCTGCAAGTGGTGACGTGACTGGCGTGGGGTCGCCTCCATTTGGGAAAGGAACTCCCTGTCTCCCAGCCAGGGCTGCGAATCCTACAGGGAAAGTTTCCGAGCAAAA